TTTACGCGCACACACACACACACACACACACACACACACACACCACTGAAATAAATACAAAAGTAACGTTATAGGCCAGAACAGGGAATATCTAGGAATATATATATATATATATGTGTGTGTGTATATATATATATGAATATATATATATATATATATAATATATATTCATGAAACAACAATTAGTGAAATAAGAGGCCATGGATTTGAAGTATAGTAGAGAGTGATATATGGGGGGCTTTGGAGTGAGTAAAGGGAAGGGAGAAATGTAATTAAACCATAATCTCAAAAAGAAAACAAATTAGAATAGTGAGTACATATGACTGCTAGGATCAGTGCAGAAGAGAAATGGAGGCTATGCTCTTTTAGGGAACTGTCTTCCTTGGGATACTGGGGGTTGTGGTTCTGATACACTTCGAAATGGGAGTTAAAACTGACTGCTTTATTAGGTTCTGTTTCATCAGGGTGTGCAGGCTATACAAAAAGTCTACAGAAGCCTCACCCTCACTGCAACACGAAAGAAAGTTAATCCATTAGCTCAGCCACAGAGACAAATGTAATCTGGCATACCCTTTGCAACATACCAAAGGTGTCTTGTTTCTTCCACAAACTGAGATACTTATGGGAAAACATTATGACACACTTGGCAGCCATCCCAGCACTTACATGTGCTTGCTGGTTGGGCTGTTTGCTAGCATAGCTACACACCCTGCTTTGAAGGAAGCACCTACGGGGAACTTGAGGATGAGGGTATAGGATTTCTGCCAGTGACATTTATTTTAAAAACACAGTTATATATTTATGAGGTTGACCCAGCAACCAGACTACTGTGTGGAGAAATAAAGAATGACAATCACAGTTGATCCCTCATTGGGAAGACTTCAGAGACAGACACAGCATTCTTGACCTAGAGGAAAAGGACTGTTGAGTTCACTTGGCCAAAGATCTTCTGGCTACAGAAGCAGGAAGTGCTGGGCTCAGGCAGCAACTGTCAACTGAGTTAGAAAGCTGACTTCATGCTGTTTTTCAGAGCTCAGGGTGGAGTGACCAGATCTTTGGGGAAACATACTTCTCTAGGAGGAGTTTCGGGGTCATTCCTCCACCCTGCCCCATTGATTCCCCAAGGATCACTCATCTGACAATTTCTGGATTTAACAGAGCTGTTGTGGTCTCAATACCAGATGTAAGAAACCACATTATAGAAAAATGTCTTAAGTATTGACTACTCCCTTTTTGCTTGGAGTCTGTTCCAGATGTGTGTCACTAATCCCAGGCTTATTCCACACTGTTTTAGGACACAGGAAAATGCTTACTAGTAAGAGATTTAAAAAATGGGACTGTTAGCAGAATTTTCTAATTTAGAATTGGTTTATTTGTGGAAAAGTGTTGGTCTCTTCCTACCGTGTACACAATTATTGCTTTTTGACATAGTGCTTCACTAAGTGATACTCAAAGCCTTGTCATGTCAAGGTGGCTTCCAAGGTGTCATGAGAGTGAAGAGCCAGAGGTGATGTGAGGCTGATTTCAGCTGCATAAATATCCCCAGCACGGCTAATTTCAAGTTACTGCTGGGATATCTTTGATTAAGAAAAGGTACAAATAACAGGGGCAGCAGTAAGTTATCCTTGGAACATTCTTCCTGAGATTCAGACCTCAATTTAATAACGCAATTATAAGCTCCAGGACAGAGGGGTGGATTTATTCAGAGTTTACAAACCAGTTAGTTGCTCCTGTACTGCCTGCTAACTTACTGGAAAAAATACATCAAATCACAACACCTGTTACTGTCGTATGTTAAAGTATAGGCTTAATTAGGTCAACTTCTCATCATCTTAAAAAACATAATCTACCTTTGAATCAGCTAGTAGTTAGGCTTCTGGAAATTCATGAAATTATTTGAATGAAATAAAGAGAGACTTCTTATACGTAATATCTTAGCCTTTCCCTTCCCTTCTCTCATTCTAGGTCATCTTTGCTCCCTATCTACTGTCAGACTTGAAGTACCCTGAGATGACTGTGTCTGTTGATTGTTTTCCTTGGTAGTAAAAGCAATTAGTCAGTGCTCCACCCATGTTATTGTGAGCATTAAGGAGGCACCATTTTAAAGGGACTTGTGAATTCGATTGTCAAGATAGTTGTTAGACATGATTAATTGTAACATTTTAACAACAGTGTTTTTAGGGATCAATAGCAAATCTCATGATTTTCAAAAGTAACTAAATGTTATTTCTTCTATATAAAAACAAATCAATGTTCAGTCTTTGAGTTTCTTATCCAGAGAATCAAACTCAAGTATTTTTTTAATTTTCAGGAGATAGAGAGTCCCTTTATACTTAATGGATGATTAAAAAAACTTCACAGAAAGACAAGCATGGTATGAACACACACATATTTTGATACTAGACATTGAGCAAAGGATTACCGGCCTACAATCCATACCTCCAGAGAAGCTAGGAAATAAAGATGACCCTAAAAGAGACATACACGGTCCCCCTTAGAAGAGGAAAGTGACAAGAGCTCCTGAGCAAATTGGGAGTATTGGGGAGCAGTAGGAGGAAGAGAAGGGGAGAAGAGGAGGGGGAAGAATTGAGAGCAATAAAAGAGATGCAGGTATATATACCTTAATATAGGGAGCCATTATAGGTTTAAAGAGAAATCTGGAAGTAGGGAAATGTCCAGAGATCTACAAGGATAACCCCAACTAAGAATCTAAGCAATAGGAGAGAGGCTACCTTAAATGCCCTTCCCCTATAATGAGATTATTACCTCAAATGCCATCCTAGAGCCATCACCCAATAGCTGATGGAAGCAGAAGCAGACATCAACCGCTAAGCACTGAGCTTAACTCCTAGAATCCAGTTGTAGAGAGGGAGGAGGAATGAGCAAAGGGGTCAAGACCATACTGGAGAAACCCACAGAAACAGATGACCTGACCAAGTTGGAGCACATGGACCCCATGCATAAAACTGGAGAACCAGCATTCGACTGCACCAAGCCTTCTGAATGTGGGTGTCAGATAGGAGTCCTGGGCATTCTATTGGACCTCTAGCAGTGGAACCAGTATTTATTTCTAGTGCACAAATGGACTTTGGGAGCCCATCTCCCATGGAGTGATACTCTCTAAGCCTAGATACTGTGGGGGGGGGCTCCCTAAATGATATGACAGACTTTAATAATCCCCCTTGGAAGGTCTCACCCTCCTTGGGGAGTGGATGGGCGGTGGGAATTGGGTGTCTGTGAGGGCATGGGAAAATGGGAGGGAGAGGGAACTGGGATTGATATGTAAAATAAGATTGTTTCTAAATAAAAATAAAACTTGACAGTGGATCACCTTAGATCCTTTAGAAAATAAAGAACTGGGATATATAAAAATGCCCTCTGTTGACATAAAAATGAAGTAAACCAACATTAGAAATCTTTTGTGAGATTCATTTCTTAAATATGATTTTTAAGAATTTTATTAAGAATATTTATATCCACCAGGAAGAGAGGGAAGAAGAATTGTAGAAGTCAGAGAGGTGAAGACCACTGCCCACAGAATCAACTAGGCAGGGGCTCAACGTGGCTTAGAGAGTCTTAAGTGGCAATCAAGGAGCCTGCAGCAGTATGAGCTAGGTCTTCTGAAAACATGCTGTGGCTGTTTAGCTTGGTGTCTTTGTGAGACTCCTAACAGTGGGAGTCAGGACTGTCTCTGACTCTTCTGCCTGCTCTTGGGACCCTTTTCCTTCTACTGGTTTGCCTCCTCCAGCTTGATATGAAGGTTTGTGCCTAGTCTCATTGCATCTTGCTTTGTCAAGTTCAGTTGATATCCTTGGAGACCTTCTCTCTTCTGAAGGGGAACAAGCAATTAATCTGGGGGAGAGAGAAGGTTGGGGGAACTGGGAGGAGTAAAAGGAGGGGATGCTGTGATCAGGATGTATTATATGAGAGAAGAATAAAGAAAAAGAAAAAAAGAATATTTGTATCTGTATTCATCAGAGGGAGCAACCCACAGTTTTGTTACATTTTGTTGTGTTTTTTTTTTAATCTGGCCTTAGCTTCAAGAGAACACTGCTTTAGTGGAGTTATTTTGGTAGTGTTCCTTCTTCTTTTATTTTATTTTCATGAACAGCTTGATCAGTGCTCTTGTCAGCCCCTTCATTAAAGTTTGGTAGAATGGAGCAGTAAACACATCTGTTTCTTCTCTTCTTAGGGAGATTTTTTTATTTTTATTTTTATTGCTGATTCATTCTCCTTGTGTTATGGCTTGTTTAAGCTGTTTGTGTTTTCTTCATTTTACTCTGGCAGGTCATGTGTATTTAATAATTTCTCAAGTTCCTCTAGATGTACCAAGATTTCTGGGATATGACAGTATCTTCTAATAAGGATGTGTATTTCATCTGAGTGTTCTCTAGTCTTATTATTTTGAGTCTTCCTTTTCCCTTTGTCAGCTCAGCTAGGGATCAGTCAATCTCATGTATCCATTGGCTGTATTAGGCTTGATTATTGGACGTATTGTTCTTTATATGTACAATTCATTGTTATCTGCCATGATGCTGGGTTGTGGTGGCCCATGCCTTTAATCCTAGCATGGGTGAGGCAGAGACAGGTGGATCTCTGGGTTCAATGCCAACCTGGTCTACAGAGTGAGTTCTTGGACAGCCAGGACTGCACAGAGAAGCCCTGTCTTGGAAAACAATACAAAACAATGGGAAGGTCAGAACCTTCCTTACCTTGCTGCCTACTCTTTCTGACCTTGCCGTTGTCTTACTTTTCTAAGACTTTTAAGCATATGGTAGGTGATTTGAAGTATTTTGATATTTTATTACATTAATTCATTTTATTCAATCTGTCAGTGTTTTGCCTGCATGTATGCATGTGCATCATGTGTGTACCTAGTCCCTGCAAAGGCCAGAAAAGAGCACTGGAACCCCTGGAAATGGAGGCATGGATGGCTGTGAACCTCCATTTGAGTACTGAAAAATCAAGCCTGGCTCCTCTGCAAGAGCAACAAATGCTATTAACTGCTGAGACTTACTTCCAGCCCATTTAAAAAATGAGGTGTATCAGTTTTATTTTACATGTGAGTGTTTTACCTGTATGTATGCATGTCTGTGCATCATGTGCATACTTGGTCCCCACAAAGCTGAGAAGAGGGCATTGATAGACTAGAACTGGAGTTATAGATGATTGTGAACCAACATATGGCATGCTGCAATTTGAACCTGGATTCTCTGCTAGAGCAAGAATTGATCTTGACAGACAAGCTATCTCTCCAGGTCACTTTAACTTTTTAATGTAAACCTTCACAGTCATAAATTTTCCTTTTAGTACTCACTTAGCCATACTCCAAAGGTTCTGGAAAGTTATGCTTTCATTTTCATTTGGGTCAAGGATTTAAAAAAATTTCCCCTTTAATTTTTCAGCTAACTTCTGATTATCCAACCAGACATATAAGAAAAAAAAAAGTTAACATGAATTATCCCTAAGTTAATATTCATGTGAGTATCATTTTATACTATGAACTTTCTTAACATAAAAACATAAAAAAGAAGTATTATTTTAAAAAAATAACAGGTAGCAGGATGGGCATGTTGGGTACACGTCTTTAGTCCCAGATCTTGGGAGTCAAAGGCAGGTGGATCTTTGTGAGTTCAAGACCAGCTTGGTCTACTTTGTGAACAGAATAGGTGGTGGGGGGGAGCCTGAAGGCTAGCACTAGTGTTAACTTACTTAGTCTTCCTCTGAACTTTTCAATGTGAGAGTTTCACAATTGGAGAAAAAAATTCTCTACCATATTTAAATAAGTTGTTTTGGAATTTTAATGAGATTTTCTTAGTAATTATAGCAGTCATTAAAAACGCACTTTCATATCATTTAGGGCAGGACCTAGGGCCTCCCCCATGTATCTAAGCTGAGAAAGTATCCCTCCATAGGTAATGGGCTCCCAAAGCCCATTCATGCACTAGGGCTAAATACTGGTTCCACTGCTAGAGGCCCCATAGACTGCCCAGACCACTTTCAGGGGACCTGGTTCAGTCTCATGCTGGTTCCTCAGCTGTCAGTCTGAGGTCCTTGAGCTCCCACTTGCTCAGGTCAGCTGTTTCTTTGGGTTTCCCTTGAACCCGTTGCTCATCCCTCCTCCATCTCTACAACTGGATTCCAGGAGTTCTGCTCAGTGCTTAGCTGTGAATATCTGCTTAATGATCCTCCATGGGAGGCCTCATCCTCCCTGATAAGTGGATTGGGGTTTGGAGGGGAGAAGGTGAGGGGAATGAGAGGAGAGGAGGTAGAGAGAACTGGGAATAGTATGTAAAATAAGATTGTTTTAATTTAAATAAAAATTAATTTAAAAAAATCACACTTTCTATAACATACAAGACATAGCAAATCTCAAGTCAGGTAAGGATTATGCTAGAACCAGGAAGCTAAAAAATTATAACCAGAGGAACATAGTTATATTTAATACATGTGAATATAATATTTGCTTAGGTAAGACAAAAGTAAAGTTCATAGATACTTACAGTTCCAGGTCGAGGATATGGAATTCTGCCTTGATAGGATACCAGCTGGTGATTGGGCCCTTCTTTGTGGGCAAAAGGCCCATTGAATACAGTCTGTATATCAGATAAATGATACACACACACTGCAGACCCTTTAAAAACAGAGCTGAAAATGAAAACAAGGAATCAGTTGTTATTTTTTCTTAAGATGTATTTTATGTGTGCCAGTGAGAATTTGAGCACTCCAGCTTGGGAAGCAGATCATTCCCATGCTCAGCCATCATCAGAGAAGGTTTCTCCTGCAGCAGATGGGAGCCAATACAGGGGACTCACAGCCAGACAATATGCATAATTAAAGACCCTGTAACACGCTGTCATAATTGGGATGTCTCCATTAAATCACTCCTTAAAGTGCTCAGGGAAGCCTGTGGAAGGTGAGAGGGGAGGCAGAAAGCATGTAAGAGCCAGAAGGATGAAGAATGCCAAGAACAAGGCCCTCTAATTAACATTATCAGAGGGCATATGAAGTCACAGAGACTGAGGCACAGGTCTACACCAGCTAGGGACCAAGAGCTGAAAGAGATAAACAAACACTCCCATCCCTAGTTTAGATGTAATCTCCAACTGATAACCACTTGCCAATGAATATTTACTTTCCTCTAGGGGAATCTCACTGGGAAAACAAAATTCTCCCAAGGGTGTGCTCCATGTCTATCAGCAGGTGGCCAATGGAAAACAATCTCAAGGGCATCTTTGGAAGTTCCTAGTCTCACAATGTTGTGTCAGAGGTTTCTCCCTTCTAGAAACAGTTTCTATGGGATTCCTAGGTATGCAAAAGAAGGGGCTGCTGTTTCACATTCCTTCTCTTGGGCTCTTTTCCTCAGTCTGTTTGTTTTGTCCAATTCTGATGTGTTAGTTTTTATTTTATCCTTATTGTTTTATATTTTATTGTTATCTATTAGCAGCCTGTTTGTTTTCCAATAAAAGAGGGAAAAGATATAGATCCAGATGGGATAGGAGAAGAGGAGGAATTGGGAGGAGTAGAAGGATAGGAAGCACAATCAAGATATATTATGTGAGAAAAAAAATCTATTTTCAATAAAGGAAAAAACAAACAAAACACTAATTTTATTCTAAACAACTGTGAAGAGAGTTATGATTTCTGAAATAACTCCCATTAATATATGAGCATCATATCTTTTATAGTAGTATTATCATGACTTCAGAGTTCTTCCATGATATTCTCGTTAGCAGTTGGAGGAGTCTACCTTGTCATTATTTGTGTATTTTCAACTTTAATCACACCATGAAAAATTATTCCGTGATGGGGAGAGAGCTCAATTGGAAAATTCCTGCCTTGCAATATGAGGACCTAAGTTCAGTCCCCAGTATCCACACAGAAAACAACAAAAAACAAAATTAGAGAAATGAAGTAAGAGCCCCATCAGGGGGAGAGGGAGGCAAGACTGGTCTCACCACCTAGCCTGCAGGCCTACTCAGTGAGCTGCAGGCCTCTGAAAGTCTATCTCAAAAAGCAAGTTGGATGACAACTCCTGAGGAAGAGCACCCAAGGTTTCTTTCCAGCCTTTATACACACACCATAGTTTCATGGGTACCCACACACACATGAATTGACATGGATGCCAATTGATGCATGTGAGCACATTTATGCCCCCACAAAAGATCCAAAAACCTTTCACTAAGTTATATTTAGTCATAAATTGGTTTAAATCCTTAGTAAGAATGACTTCCACTACCACTAGGTCAGAAAAATTGAAATCATGTTCCTTTACTTAATGTGGACTCCAAACTGGAAGCTTAGTAGAAACATTTTGCATAGAAATAAAGTTGTATTATTAACAATTAACAATAGTAGTTATAAGTGATATCTGCTAATGTTTAATGACTAAGCTAATCTTTGACAAATATAAACTAAAAAGTGTTTTATTAAAGTCAGTATTTTATTGAAAATTTTGTTATTGAACAGGTATTTTGCTGTTCAATATTTTATGAACTAAAGTGAGACTACTCATTTGCTAGAATAGTAGTTAAGCACAGTCAAGGACATCTGTCTAGAGTTCTTGTAGCATTAAACCTAAAAGACTGGTAACCAATATTCCCGCCAATTCTTTGATTTTGAAAAGTTCATAGCAATTTGCAATTGCACTACACTTCCTTTTTTCTTTTTCCTTTTTGTGGGCTTTGTATGAGTATGTGCATGTGTATACATATTGTATGCTATTGTATGCAGGCATGTGCACCTGGACTTGTGCATGCAAAAATCAAAGGAAGACAACAGGTGTCATCTTCTGTCACTACTGTCCTTATTCCCTTAACAGGGTCTTACCATGTAACTGTTGCCTGCCATTTTCGTGAAACTAAACAGCCAGCAAGCTTCCTAGGACCAACCTCTCTCCACCCCAAACAACACTGGAGCTATATGCAATGCCATCCATCACACGGCATTTGCATAGGTGTCAGGGATCTAACACAGGGCCTCATGTATGGACAACAAGATCTCTTTCTCACTGAGGTATCTTCCCAGGCTTTTATACCACATTTAATATTCACTTAGAAAAGAATGTTTGCAATCACCAATTTGCAGTTTTCTAAGAAATGAAAAGAAACCAATACAACCTTCCTTTTGGTCCAATAGATTTGGCTGGAGTACAAGGCTGAATACACAGTAACACCTTATACAATATTAATAAACAGAAATGTGCACAGAAGACTTGAAGTATATGTGCTTCAAAACACAATAAAGCTTCTGTGGGACTCCAAGAAAAACTAGAAAATATTAAACATATTTTGAAATGTGAAAATATTGTCATATTACAGAAAAACAGGACTGAATGGTCCAGTTTTTGTTAGCTTCTCATAGTCATCACTTTAGATGACTAAAGAAGTGAAAGTTATTTCAGTGCAAATCTAAACATGATTTAAAGTTTTTATTAGCTTCTCATAGTCATCACTTTTGATGACTAAAGAAGTGAAAGTTATTTCAGTGCAAATCTAAACATGTTTTTAAGTTTTAATAATGCATATTTGTTATACAAATTTAAATAATTAAATACATACACTTTTATGACTTGTATGTGTCAAAATGCAGGAAAGAAGCATATTCATCACCACCAAAACCTTCAATTCTGATCTTATCAAAATCATTTATTTTGTTATTTAAACAAAATATTGAAGCATTTTGCTTCTATAATTCATACCTTTGTTTCTCTTGGAGAGCAACATGTGATTGTTTAAAATGCTTTGGGAGCTATGTGGAAACATTCATGGAGACCAAATATATTTTAGTAATTTGCAGAAGTGAATAAAATGAGAGAATTCATTGTTTAACAGAAGAACTGTAGCTATTTAATATTTACCTGGATGTGGTGAAGATGCCATACACTAGGGTTGTCCTTGGATTGTCAGTTTCTAGCAGGAACACGTCCTCTACAAAAAGGAAAAGCACACTCTTTTAAAGTTTCCAAAATTCTAATTGCTATTTTGGATTACCCTAAGACAACAATTTCAGCTATGAAAATTAGTTCTCAGAAAGGTATTAATGGACAATCGCTCTAATTTGGTATAATGTGAAGATAAGCAGTTGTAATGAAAATCAAATGTTAGTCTGGCACTGAGGGCATTCATGAAGACCGCATCTCTGTGGAAATGATGGTGGTGTATAAACACTAAGTGGAAAGCCCCAAAGGGAGTATAGTATAGACTAGAACTCTGAAAACCTTAATTCACTAAGTCTGCAGATAAGACAAAGTGTGACCATGGTGTTCATAGTAGGAATGCCACACATATTTATTGTTGCTTGTTTCTGTGTCTCCTCAAAAATCTTTTCCTGTTGATACATTAATAGTAATTCAAAAATAATTCAACTCTCATTTTCCTTGCAATTCATGATTTAAAATTGCAATGCTGAGTCTCTCTGAGACTTTGCAAAGGAACACAATGCTCGTAAGTCCTTCACAAACAATGCTCACTCTCATATCCACGCACCTAATTCATCAAAGTGTGTCTCAGGGCCATCTTCATCTGTGACGGAGCACACAAGCCTTGCCTTTAAGAATGTGGTCCACTTGTTTACAAGACTACGTTGTCCGCCAGTGTCATTCTGAAACAATTTTGTAAGTAAAATTCAGATGAATGGAGAAACAATTGTGTATTAAAAATTTAACTAGAACTTTGATTTTTCACTTATTGTTACCTAAAGATTAGAAGGGATTATCACCAATCAAAAAACGCTAGGATCTATAGTATTTTATGATTGATCTTTCGTAATGCAATATCAATGAGAAACAGACTATAAAATGGAAATATAAGTATATGACTCAAGTTTTGTAATATATGACATAAATATTTATATATGGTGAATAAATAACTGTTTACCTCTTGCTGAAAAAAAATTGTTCTCTTAAATGTAAATGAAATTTACTGCATACAGTTATAGTTTCCAGAGTTTACTATGTTCAGGAGAGTGGGTATATCCCACATCAGAAGGCTCCAAATAGTTCTATTTTATCTCCATCTCCTCAGAAACTTCACTTAATACTTAGTATTTCTGAGTGGATGGCTTATTATATACATTTTTCCCAATTCACAGGACATGGCATTTTGTTCTACTGTTTATTGGTGACTTGTGTCTTCCGTTGTGTCCATCAGCCTTTTATTCTGCTAGCTTTGCTATATTGACTCAAATTATTGAGAAACAGCTGAGTCCCAGACAACAGAATATTGAAATATTTAAAGATAAATAGACACTGGATACTTCAATGAATATGTCTGACAAAGAAAATTATCACAAGTATATCAACAAGAGTCTATAAAGAGCCTACAGAAGAGTGCATGATAAATTTTATTCAGCGGTTTTATATGTAATGTTAATACACTGACATTTTGTTCTTTAAAATTAGAACCGTAAAAAAAAAATCTTAATTTTCCAATATTACAGCATCTTCACCATAACAATGTTTTACTGAGATTCAGATGTATTTTATTACAAGAATTATTTTGTTTTCTTTGGTAATTTACAATTTCTCGTTTGAACGCAACACAGCAAATGGAATTGCAGAATTAGCCAAAACTAGTTCTATGTTTAAAACAGCAACCAAAATATTTCCATGAAATGCAGAGTGATTGTCTCACATAAACTGTGAAATGCATGCTGTGCTAAAAATATTCTCTCTGTGTCTTATTAATTGGTAATAATAAATGATAAAACCAATGAAATATTGAAAATGCATTATATATCTTGAAGTATTTCTTTAAATAGAAATTTCAATGTTCTTACAGGACATATTCTTGCAATCATGGAATGAATCTGTTTTGTGCTCCTATTGTTGTCAGTCAGTTTTTCTTTGAAGAAGAAATACACCTTAGCATCATTTGGATCAGTGCCATCTGGGATCACATGTGCATCCACAAACATAGGTTCTGCAAAAGAAATATGGAAACTATGTTCTCATGATAAAAAGCTACCTACCAACTTTGAAAGAGATGACACATGCATTCCTTTCCCAGCAGAGGATAATTCACTGTTTAGACCAAATTTCAAAAAGCAGCGATTGTATATCAACATACCTCATGGAGAGTACCAAACTCAACAAATTATAGCTCTAGTGTGACAGGCCAAACTTTGTCTCTGTCAGAAGAACATTTAAAGAATATAGTAATGTTTCTTTGTACACAATGGAGTTTCAAAGAAATTGAATATTATTTTAGCAGTTATTTTCCATGGAATTTAAGGCTTATTTTATTTTTATGTTGGCTTTTAATTGTGGTGTTTGCATTCAAGTATATAAAATCTTAATTTATTGAAACAGAATAAGAAAATGGGAAAGAAGGAAGAGAAGGGGGAAAGGAGTAGGAAAGAGAGGAGAAATAGGAAGACAGGGAAAGAAGAGGAGGAAGACGAGATAGGAGAAGAAACTGTTGATGCAGTATCAAAAAAATATGTCTGTTTTCCCTTAAAGTACAGCAGGAGAAATGAAGAGAATATGTCTCAAGGAAAAAATGTAGTCAGTGTAGACATAGAGGTTTCCTTATTTCAGGAAGAAAACAACTTAGAATATTCTATTTCCAGATGTGCTGGTGGAATAATAGAAAGAGGCAAAAGACAGTCAATGCTTTCATATGCTGAGCTATCAATGAAATAAAATGCTTAATTGTGATGATTCATACTAAACTACATCATTAACTAAACAGGCAGTTGACAGTGTGCTTGCCCGTTTCCTGTGGCAAGCGATCAATGGCTTCCCACCTCTCTACATGACAGAAACTGATGGGAATCATACAGTAAAATCAAATTAGTCTCCTTTCAGGGTATGAATTCCTTATGACCTAGAGAATTTGAATCAACTAAACAAGGATTATCATAAAGTCATCATAACATCATACATTAAACATTAGTCAATTTTTGAAAAAGTAGTATGTAATATTCAATAATTTCAGATTATTAATGTAAGCAAACACAAAACATTTCTGCATATGATCCATTCATTATATTGTTAGGTCATGAATTTAGTAGAATTCTTCAATTTAGAATTATAAAAATATAAAAGTGATTACAAGGGCTAACATCATAATTAACTGGAATATATTATACATTTAACAAGTGGAGCAATGCATGACAGGTATCACTGATATACTTAGCACATAAAGTATAGAATTATAACTACACATGTGAAAGCCTGATACCTTAGCTTTTAACTACTTTTCCTATTATCAGTATAGAATTAAATGTCAGTTAAATCAAGATATCAATGAAGAAAATGGCAGTAAATGTTTTCTTACCACTTAGCCATTTTGAATTGTGCTGATCGGTTCGGACTGCATTCCTCTTAGTTAAACTTCGAAAAATAGCAGCATCTGTTCCCATAAAATCTATGTACATTCCTGAGAAGAGTTCCTCATCTACAAAAAAGGAGCAATTGTCAGAGATATTCTAATGCCTTTGAACTTCTATTAAGTTCAAGTAGGTTTAACAAATTATACTATCCTAATTACTAGAAGTGGTTTGTAGTTGTGAATTAGTTTCTGTTGCCCACCTAATTTTTGAAGGACTCATTTTAATATGCTCTTATTGTGATGACTCTTTAGTTATAAAACAAACTCCAAGAACTACTTGTTCTAATTTTAGCAAGCAAGTAACAAGCATGGTTTAAGGGTGATGTCATTCAAAACACAGAATCTTAATATTTTCATTTCTAAATCATAGGAAACGAGCTACAATCCTAACAGCACTCATCACATATTAAACATCTTGCTTGATATGGTGGACATAATAATTTTATTATTTTTATTACTTGATTACATAGAAACTACAATAATATTGTAAAAATATTATTGAAGAGCAAATTAATCATTCAAATTCTACATTTTGATCTTTAGAGCTAAAAGGTTCCTAATAACATAACACAGCCAGCTTTTTCAGCAATACTCTGTTGTAAAATGTAAATTAATAAGAAAGAAACCATGTCAAAAATTAACAAGTTGTCCAATTTGCCATAAGTGGACTGTTTAGTTATTTAACCTGTTTGTTTGTATCTGTTCTCACTAACTGTGTGTACATTTATAGTAATTCCTTTTGTACAGGGAAGAGTGCAAAATGAAATACTTCTAAAATGAGCTCATCAGATTTTGAACTAGGTCCCTACCAGTTAAGGAGCTGATATGACAGGCATCTTGTTATTAATTTCTCCTTCCCAGGAAGGACACAAAACCCATGGCAACATTTTCGAGGGTAATAACAATAAGAAGGAGACATTTTAAACAATCCAGCTGTTTAAACATTTGTTTAAATATCTTTTGTGTACATGCATACATAGATTTGGCTATTAAATCAATATAACACATAATTATTCCCCCATGTGATTAAAGCTCATTACTCATAAGAGCATGGATTATAAATCACTACTGCTCAATGTCATTGATAAGCACAGCTTTCAATTATATTTACTTACAGGATGAGGGATGAGTAAGATACTCAGGTTGGCTTAGAGCTTATTAATTATATTGAACAATGCACAACCAATTATACCTTAAACCTTACAAAAGCCTATATATCAAACTGATTTCATTTCTTGCCCCATTATTCTCAGTGCTTCTAATAGCAGATAGGAAAACTCTTGTTTCACTTTGTATGGGTAATAAATTCTTAAATGATAACACTTTGGGAAGAATTTTAAGAGAGTTTTCAGGATTTCTTTGTAGAGTTTTATGCAAATATAAACTTGTGACTTTTAACTTTACTCAAAAAATGTTGTGCTTTCTAATTATATTACCACTCACTCAGAGAACTTCAGGAATTCTGTGAGAAGTTCTGTATAAGATAACATCTTATTTCTTTGTAGTCCAACATTAAGTTCCCTAAATAGCAAATGACCACTGGATTTTCCATTAGGTTAGATGATGCAACTGTGTTTGAAAATACTGCCTTCTAATTCATAGTGTTTCTTGGCATTAAATGGTTAAAAGTATCTCATACATCTGTATTATTCAATGACCAAATAGAAATGGCAAACACAACACAGTGACCCACACAAACTATGAGAGGTAATTTTAGGGTTACAACCCTTTGGAAAGGAAAGTAAGTAATACTTACATAGATTCTTGATCTCATGGACATCTTTGAATTTTTTATTACAGTAAGTAATTTATAAGCTGTGTGGGTTCTTTGCTCTTTAGACCACCCTCCCTCTTCACTTTCTACTTACTGATCATAACAGATACAGTGTTCACATTGGGGTTGAAGGAGCATCTTCCTTTTCCAGATTCACACTTAGAGTCAATCATGAAAACTTGGTCCTTTGCAGCAGAAAAAGGTATCAGGTGATAATGATACAGCATAATAAGTACAACGAAATATAATTATACCTAATTTATTTGTAATGCTTGTTACTTAATAAAAAGATATCTTCATAAACACATTCTACTCCTGCATCTCCAATATGTATATTAAGACTCAGTTGTCCTGTAGGAAGAATCCATCTGTAAATTATGCTTTAACATTAGAAGGGCTAACTCCTATTCCATTTGAGAGCACTAAGAACTGATTCCATCTTGAGTTCTCATTAAATCAACATCATCAAAAGTCACTTGGAAATCTAAAATCATTATGTATATAATTAGATGTGGTTGTGGAATGCTAGCCAAAAGAAGAAAAGTAACCCAGTGGAATAATGTACACAATGGTTACAATGCTTCCAAAAGGAGACTTTTAAAAGCTAAAATTCTATGTTAATACTTGATTTTTGTATAATACACTGTACAAGATTTAAAATAACATACATTAAAATATCACCTGTTTGATTATCTGTTTAAAAAATATGGTCATCTGCTGAATACTTGAAGATTAGTGAAACCCTGATGATATTGTAAGTAAAACTACAGAAAAAAATAAGCAAGTTTACAGAAATCTTGGACATTGAGTAATTTATATTCTAATAATAAAATGAAAGCTAAAGAGAACAAAATACAAACATTGGTTATGTAAGATTCTGCTCAATGCTTAATAGAAACTGTATGCAGAGAGATGAAATAGGAATGACTGGAGATTATGAGGCAGTAAATTCAGTTGTGCTGAACTGGTGCTCGGAGAGCAGTACTTATGGAGTGATTTTATAAATAGAGGTACTGACATTTTTCATACAGTCTCTTACTAGAAACTATTACTACATCACAAGGGCAAAAAAAATGAACACTTTTATGGATTACATCACATGATGGAGAACTGTAATTATCATTTTAAAGTTTTTGAAAACTATCCTGAATAAATATAGTCTCATAATATTTTTAATGTAGAAATAAAATGACCAGAACTCTGTTCCAGAAATGACTGATTATATATCTGCTTTAGGAAGATTTGGGAAGGAATACATATAATAACATGCTTGACTCAAGAAAATAGGCTGCTTTTATTAAAACTATATATACATACATACGCACACACAAATATATATATATATATATATATATATATATATATATAGAG